CTGTTCCCACTGGTGACAGAGCTCTCCCTTAGCACCCACTTCTTCCCTTCTTGGCTACTGTATCCTAAGCTAGGGGCACATCTGGCCAACAGGGTGGGAATGGAACCATTTTTCTGCTGCAGCAGCCATGGGCTGGGGGCCCAGGGTGTACTGGGGTGGGTGCCTGCTGAGAGAAGAGTGAAGAGAGATGTCCCCTGGCCCCAAGCCAGGCATATCCAGGGGTGCAGTCAAACCCAGGTCCCTCTGATGGACATGCCCATGGAGCATGGGTCTCCACCAGAGGAGCTGGCTTTGGCCTTGGCAATGGGACTGGCTCCCCCAGATGCTCTTCCTCAGGGCTGTGGTCCTCTCCCCTCCATGTCTCATGCTCTTTCTTGATGGGAGACCATGGGAGAACAGAGAACCAGACCCTACAGAACTGCACAGAAGCTGCAAGGGGCTGTGAGGATCCTTTCCCAGGCAACTCTCCTCACTCTCCTACCTGTGTCCCATCTCTTACCTGTGTCACACTCTACCATCTTTGGGTCCCATCTGTACCATTCAACTGTATCATTACTCTAGGTAAATGACTAGTCTCACTTGCCATGAATACAACACAATCACAAAAACAAATATTATTGAAACAATGAGGTCAGCTCCCTGAGGGCAGTGGTTTGTGATTTATTGCTGTATTCCCAGCACCCAGAAAATTACCTGGCACATTACAGGTACTCAAAGTATATTTTTTGAGTGAGGGGCTCGTAAATGAACAAATGCAGGAAGGAAAGAGTGATCTGGATCTAGATGCTTGGGGAAGGCCCTGATAAAAAAAACACATTGGGGCGCCTGGGTGGCTCAGTCAGTTAGGATTCTTGGTTTGGACTCAGGTCAGGATCTCAGGGGTGTGAGATCAAGCCCCACTTTGGTCTCTACACTTAGCGTGGAGTCTGCTTGTTCCTGTGCCCTCTGGTCCTCTGCCTATGCTCTTTCTACCCACCACCTAAATAAATAAATCTTAAAAATAAATAAAATCTTAAAAAGAAAGCACCACTTCAGTTCCAAGTGGAGACTTTCTTCTCAACATACTCCTTGTGTTAAGGAGAGCTTCCCCGGCAGGCTGCCTGACCGTGCTCCTTCCCACGTATACATGTGACAGTGTGACACACATGTGTCTCCCCTTTGGCCACGGAAGGACCCTCTTCCGAGGGCTGGATGCCCAAGGTCAATGTCCGCTCTGCCCTATCCTTCCCACTGGGCTGGACAGGGCCATCTTTGAAGAATATAGAGTCACTGCTCCCGCCTGGCAGGTGCCTGTGGGGGTGGCCACCATGCCTCCTAGGCAGAGGCCTGGCACAGGAAATCTGACGTCATCCTGACTCACTACTCAGATGAGGCTGCGGGTGGCCACCACTCGTCACTCTCACCTTCATACCTACCTGGCATAAGGATGATGGCCACACCATTCATTTCTTCCTCCCCCCCCCCCCCCGGGGCACAGGCTTGGGGTGTGGGTTTGAAAGGAGGGGGAAGGAGCACCATATGCAAGCCCACATCAGTACAGAGCTTCAAGCTTCGTGATTGTGGAAGGGAAACCACTTTGCATGGGGGCTGGGTGGATGTGCTGGGGGGTTGGCAGGGGAAGCCAGGAATCCTGAGGCAGGAGGGGAATGACACTTTACTGTCAAAACAGGTGGTTACAAAGAATAACACATTTGTTCCAGTTAGGTATTTTAATTAAAAAAAAATGAAGGGGCGCCTGGGTGGCTCTGTCAGTTGAGTATCTGTGTCTACTTTTCGCTCAGGTTGTGATCCCGGGGTTCTGGAGTCCAGCCCCGTGGCAGGCTTTCTGTGGAGCAGGGGGTCTGCTTCTTCTTCTCCCTCTGACCCTCCTCCTCCCTCATGCTCACTCTCTCTTGCTCTCTCAAGTAAATAAATAAAATCTTCTTTAAAAAAGGCTTTATTGGGATCCCTGGGTGGCGCAGCGGTTTAGCGCCTGCCTTTGGCTCAGGGCACGATCCTGGAGACCCGGGATCGAATCCCACATCGGGCTACCAGTGCATGGAGCCTGCTTCTCCCTCTGCCTGTGTCTCTGCCTCTCTCTCTGTGTGTGACTATCATAAATAAATAAATAAATTTAAAAAAATAAAATAAAAATAAAAAAGGCTTTATTTATTCATGAGAGACACAGAGAGGCAGAGACACAGGCAGAGGGAGAAGCAGGCTCGTTGCGGGGAGCCTGATGCAGAACTCCATCCCAGGACCCCAGGATGATGCCCTGAGCTGAAGGCAGACACTCAACTACTGAGCCACCCTGGTATCCCCAGTAAATAAAATCTTAAAAAAAACGAAGCTGGGTCCCAAACAGACTTAATAGTATCTGCTCTGTAACCACCAGGCCAGGAACATAAAACACCCAAAAACCTCTGCATATGACACCCCCGTCCTGCCATCCCTATGGTCTCGTGATGAGGCATGGGGTCCTCCCTCCAGAACCTGCAGCCTGTGGGGTACCAAGTCTAAGCGAGACCCCTCCTCACACTGCACCCAAGGGCCCAGAGCCCTGCCTCGTCTCTGCTGTGGGAATAGTGTTCCTTCAGGAGGTGGCAAAGGAAGACATCCCGTGCCATGACTCACCAGAGGTCTGGGGATCTTTAGTCAGAGCAGAAGTGGGGGTGGGACGTGGGTTTGCGTTCTCTTCTCCGTTCTCTTCTCCCTCTCGTGCGCATTACCCTGGCCTTGGGCTTTTACCCAGTTATTGGGGGTGGGGACTACCCCAGTTTGGGAAGAGGGGAAGGGGACAAAGGGAAGCTCTTCTTTCATGGCTAAGTCAGATCTCCTTAAGTCTGTGTTGCAGAGCCGCAAAAGGGACAGCCCCAAAACAAGTGGCATTGAGGGGGTGACTTACACACACTACCTCAGGCAGGGCGCTGGGCAGGGCCCCAAGGACTGTGCCACTAGAGCAAACCTTTAGTGGCGCACCCCCACTCCCGAGTGGAACTTCCCAGCAAAGTACAGGTTGTTCTTCCCCCTAGGAGGGGAAGAAGCTCAGGGGTCTGCAGCCCCTACCATTGAGCTGATTTTTATCCCTGAGCCAGGATCTCAGCTGGCCAGTTCTCTCTCCTCCTCCCCAAGGAGCTGGAAGGCTGTGGCTCCCAGCATGGCAGGTGACGCCAGCCCCACGGGTTAGCAAGACTGGACCTGACTATTCTTTTGCGTGCTCTGTAATTTGCCCCTGGAATCAGCCATTAAGTCATTTGCCAGTCTGATGCCAAGGATAAGGGCCACATATCAGCCTCTGGGATCTGTGGCCCAGACTCCCCGGCTCTGTTGTGGGCTTTGCCACATCAGCCCCCAGACTGGCCTGTAGGGAGGGACAGGACACTGCAGGCACCCAGGCAGCAGTGTGGCCTCATAGCCTTGGCACCAGTGTTGCGTGAAGAGCTGGTCTATTATGAGCTCCCATCCTGCAGATGGGGACATGAAGCATGAGAGAGTGACTTGGCCCCAGGAATCTCTGGAGTCTTTCTGTCCCCTGGATCCCCTCTTCCCCATAGCACATATGAGCTCCAAACTGTATCAAACATTGTGCAACTGCATTCAGATCATACACAACATACACAGGCATGACACACCATTTTGAGGAGTTTAAAGTTTATAAGCCAAGTGGAGGACTTGGGGCTCAACACGGGTCCTATCTGTAACCCTCCAAGACGGTCTGGACATAGGGGACTGGAAGAGATCTGGAAGGATCTTACAGAGGGCACTGATGCAGGGGAATGGGCGCTGAGGGGCCTGGGTTCTGAAATCCCACACAGCTACGTGGTGGGGGTGGGGGCAGTTCCTGCTCCAAGAAGCTGCTCAGTCCACCTCAACATCTCTGCTTTGGTGTTCAGCAGTCTTTATTTCGGGCCTCCAACCCTGGGATGGGGGGGGGGAGCCAGATACTCCCCCTCAACACACCTGGGCCTCACCACATCCGGTCCCTGGGCTGGCAGCTGAGGTGGGGGGGCAGAAGGGATGTAGATTACCCAGCTCCCCATTCTCACTGCTCATCGCCTTGCTCAGGTGGTCCCAGGTCCCGGCTCTCTGGCTCTGGGATGGGGGGGGGACTGCTACAGCCTAGGGAGGGCTGAGAGGGGGTGTGGTAAAGGGGGGGGGGAGGAGGCCGATTCTGGTACGTCTTCTCCCTTTTCCCCTTGGTGAGGTTCCTGAAATTCCCACCACGCCCCAGGGAGAGCCCGGCATCGTCAGCAGAGTTCCCCTTGCTAGCCGGTGGTGACTTGGGGAAGTGTTTCACCCAGGGCCTCTGGGGTTTCCCTGGGCCCCAGGGGAGCCTTGTCTCACTCTTAACTGGAAACTTATCACAGGCCCCCTGCCTCTCCCCTGGAGGCCCAGGGGTCCTTCTCATGCCAATGTCCAGGGTCTTGGGCCCAGAGGATAAAGGTCTGGACTGGCTTGGCCGCTAACCTGCTGCAAGACCCAGAGTGCTGGTCTCAGCCATGCAATGGGCGAGGGAAGGGAGGAGAAATAAAGTGCCTCTGCACAAGGCTTCTAAGGTAGAAAAGGGGCATCTCAGCAGGGCTCCCCACTCTCCAGGGTAGAAATCATGGCGATGTCAAGTTTTGTTGTAACAAATTCCTAGAGCGAAAATCCTGGAAGAGAAAGGGAGAAGGAAGAGAGCCTGGCAGGGGGCATCTGGGTATGGGGATGTGCCGGAGAACCCCGTTCCCAAGGACTGAGCGGTGGGAGCAGGTCAGAGGGTGGGAGTGTTCTGCGAGGCTGGGGCGCAAAGGTGGGCGGCACTGGAGCCCCACTGACCCTGGCAAAACCCCTTCCTCCGGAGCGGGTGCGCGCCCCGCCCCCCCCGCGCTCCGCCCCCCTCAGCCCGCCCAGGCCCCGGCCCGCCCAGCTCGCGCCAGCTGGAGGCCGCGGGGGCGGGCGCCGGCGCCTTCCTGCGCTGCCCTTGTATGGTGACCCGGGAGGCCGGCCCACGGGTACTTAAGCCGCGGCGCCGCCCGGGGGCCCAGAACACTAGGGTCGGGGCAGCGCGGCCGCCGCGACCGCCGGGAGCGCGCGGGCACGAAGACGCGCAGCGACAGAGGCCGGGGGAGCCGGGGCGGTCGCCATGGGGCTGGAGGCGGCGCGCGAGCTGGACTGCGCGGCGCTGGGCGCGCTGCTGCGGGAGCCGCGGGAGGCCGAGCGCACGCTGCTGCTCGACTGCCGCCCCTTCCTGGCCTTCTGCCGCCGCCACGTGCGCCACGCGCGGCCCGTGCCCTGGAACGCGCTGCTGCGGCGCCGCGCGCGGGGCCCCCCCGCCGCCGCCCTCGCCTGCCTGCTGCCCGACCGCGCGCTCCGGGCGCGCCTGGCCCGCGGGGAGCTGGCCCGGGCCGTGGTGCTGGACGAGGGCAGTGCCTCGGTGGCCGCGCTCCCGCCCGACGGCCCCGCGCACGCGCTGCTCGCCGCGCTGCTGCCGGAGACCCGCGCCGGGCCCACGGCCGTGTGCTTCCTGCGAGGTGAGCGCGGCCCCCCGGCCCTCCTGCCCCCCGGGCCCCCCCGACCCACCCCCGGCCCCCCCGCCCCCCGGCCCCGCCGCGCCCTCCCGGCTCACCGCCCCTCGCCCTCCCCGCAGGCGGCTTCGACGGCTTCCAGGCCTGCTGTCCCGACCTGTGCTCGGAGTCCCCCGCCCCCGCCATGTCGTCTGCCGGGGTCGAGAACAGCCGCTCCGACGACGCCCGGGCTCCGTCCTACGACCAGGTGAGTTGAGATCAGAGCGGCTTCCACCGCCCACCCCCTGCCTCTCTGCGGGATCGGCTGCGCCTGTGGATTCGAGCGGCCTCTCCTTGTCCACACTCACCTGTGTGCGTGCGTGTGTGTCCCCGCAGCAGATGGGAGCACATCTTGGTGTGTCTGGTGTGGGCTGCTCCTGTGCGCCTCTGTGAATCCGTGTCTGCAGCATATTTGGGGCTTTGATGGGGAGGTGTGTGTTTGTGTGTATCTCTGTGTCCCCTCGTGGCCTCATGTTCCAGAGTGTGATCCTGGTCAGGATAGACCGAGGGCTCCTCTTGCTGGGCAGCCTGCCGTGTGTGCCCCCGCCTCCAGGCCTGGGCTGAGAAGACCTCCTCCTCCTCATCCCTTTTCTCCCACCGGTACAGGGCGGCCCTGTGGAGATCTTACCCTACCTGTTCCTGGGCAGCTGCAGCCACTCCTCGGACCTGCAAGGGCTGCAGGCATGTGGCATCACGGCGGTCCTCAACGTCTCCGCCAGCTGTCCCAACCACTTTGAGGGCCTTTTCCGCTACAAGAGCATCCCGGTGGAGGACAACCAGATGGTGGAGATCAGTGCCTGGTTCCAGGAGGCCATAAGCTTCATTGGTAAGAGTGGGAGCTTCACCCAGGGACCTGAAGGGACACCCAGGTGAGGGGACTGGGGCACCTGTCACCTCCCCTGCCTACCTTCCTGGCTGACCCCCTCTTCCCCATCTCCCTCGCAGACTCCGTGAAGAACAGTGGAGGTCGGGTACTGGTACACTGCCAGGCAGGCATCTCACGCTCTGCCACCATCTGCCTGGCTTACCTGATACAGAGCCGCCGCGTGAGGCTGGACGAGGCCTTTGACTTTGTCAAGCAACGCCGGGGAGTCATCTCCCCCAACTTCAGTTTCATGGGGCAGCTACTACAGTTTGAGACTCAGGTGCTGTGTCACTGAGGCAGGGCCCCACCATGCCAGCTCCAGTTCAGGGAAAGCTGCCCTCCCCCGTCCCCCTGAAATTTGAAAAGCCCCCAAGTGGTGGTGCTGGGAATGCAGGAACTCTGGACTTACTCACCTGGTGCTCTTCTGCTGGGTTTGAGGGCTGGCCCTTATTCTGGGGACCAGAATGGAGGGCATGTCTGCTTCCCCTCCCCCCCCTCTTCTGGCGGAAACTAACTGGACTCTACACCCATGGATTCCCACTGGTCCCAGGACCATGTTGAGGCCCTTGGCAGCCTGAGAGCTCCAAGGAACAAGCTGTGACAACCAGGAGCCCTGTCTGGGGGGTGGTCCACTACAGGCCCGGAGCCTGAGCCTTGTACTCCTGGGGAGCTGGGCATCAGGGAAGTGATGTGTCTGTTACGTCCGGACCTCTTGCTTGTGTGCGTGCACATGTGTATGTGTGTGAGCATTTCACGCCTGTATTGGTGCTGGAAATTTTTTTGTGTTCAGCTGACATTTAACACTCCCTCCCCCACTTCCTCCCAGCCCTGTGGGCGGGGTTGGAAACTTAGCACTTTATATTTATACGGAACATTGAGGATGTGTCAATAAAGTATTGTTTTGTTTAAAAAACAATTTCTCAAGCATCTGGTCTGTTTCTTCATCAGACCTCAACCTATCCTTGTGCCTGAGGAGTAGAAGGAAGAAGGTGCTCGTGTGAGCTCACCTAGAGGAGGTGCCCTCCTGGGCCTTGTCACCTTTTGTTGGTGTCGTAGCCCAGGCAGTGTTCCATCTCTAGAGCTGAAAGAGGAGGTTTCTGGGAGGCTGACTCCAACCTCGTTTCTGTTACTGGCGTTCGATTCTGTGGGAAAAAGCTTGGGTTCATGGCTCAGACTGCACTTCCTTTTTGGGACATGGATGGATATGCATGTGTGTGCACCTGTGTGTGTGGCTGTTTCCATGGGTGTGGGTGTCTGCTCTTCCTACCGAGCACACGCTTGCATGTCATATGCACCTGAAGGTATCTGTGAGTGTGCCTGTGTGCATGGCTCTTCCAGTGGCTGTGCATGTGCCTGCTAGGCCAGGCTTCCTTTTCCCCACGGTAGGGCAACACAACTTCTCCCCTCTTCTCTCACCTACCCAGGCTGGGCCCCCAGGCCTCGGAATGCCCATTTGCACTGGGGCTCATGGCAGCCCATGTGCCAGAGTTCCTTCTTGTCCCCAGAAGCCATGTGGCTTGGTGTTTGGTATGGAAAACATGTCACCAGGGTTGGGCTTAATTGCTCTTTACACCCACCCAACTAGCGTGTCTTTTTTTTTTTAAAGATTTTAATTATTTATTTATTCATGAGAGACACACACAGAGAGAGGCAGAGACACAGGCAGAGGGAGAAGCAGGCTCCCTGTGGGGAGCCCGATGCGGGACTTGATCCCAGAACCCCGGGATTAAGCCTTGAGCCAAAGGCAGACGCTCAACCACTGAGCCACTCAGACATCCCCCAGCTAGCATGTCTTGATTGAATGTTGGGTATTTGCCTGGCATGGGACTGTGCCATCTGGGGAGGCATGAATCACGGGTCCAGCCCAAGCCAGAAGTGGAGGGGGTGCATGCTGAGGCTGCCAGAAACGGGTGCTGTGATTTGCCTGGGAGCAGGGGTGCTGAGGCTCTTGAGGTCAGCTCTTGGACAGCTCAGCCAGCTTCATTCGGCCTCCACTCTGATGCTTCTGGCCACTCGGAGTGTCATCTGGCTAACTCAGTCCTTCCAAAGTCAGCTCAAGGGTCACCCCTGCAGAATGCTGGCTCTTCTTCATGGCATTCTGTGTGCCTGGCAGGGTACACCTGAGGGATGGAGTCCGATGGTTAGGAGGCCAGTTATTCTCCCTGCGTTTCAGTTTTCTTGTCCGTAAAATGGAGTTTTATCATTAGCCCTTGCCAGTTAGTGTATCTAGAATGACACAAATCAATCCATGTAAGAGGCTTAGCCTAGCATCTACACATAGTAGGTGCTCAGGAACTGTTAGCCACTGATGGCTCATGAAGTGAAGGTTTTCAGGTGTGTACCTGTATGTCTCAACCAGGCTGGATGCTCAAGAGGGCAGAACCTATGGTCTGCTCTGCCCTCTGTACCCAGAGTCTGGCACAGGTCGGCACTCATTTCAACAGGCAGGTGAAGGATGAGCAGCCTGCCCCAGAGCCTTGTTCCCCCTGCTGTCTGGGGGTGGGTGAGCTGCTCCCTGGTCGGAACTGAGCAGAGCCGGGCTTGCTATCAAGGCTTTCTGAGGACCTGAGTGGGCTTTGTTTGGACTTGCCAACAACACTTAGCTTGGGGGGCGGGAGTGGAGGGCATTGGGGGCTCTGAGTCATCAGGGCCTTCTCATCACACAGTTCCATGTCACCAACAGCAGGACTGGTGGCTGAGGCCTTGCCCACCCCATCCTCACCCCTACCCCATTCTTTCCACGCCCAGCCTCCCCTACATGTGTTTTTAAGTCTTTTTTTTTAATTTTTTTTTTTTTAGAAAGAGAGAGAGAGAGCAAGCAAGGGTGGGGGGAGGGGGAAAGAGAGAGAGAGAGAGAGTCACAAGCATAGTCCACATGCAACCCAGCGCCAGGCTTGATCTCACCACTCTGAGATCACGACCTGAGCTGAAATCAAGAGCGAGATCCTCTACCAACTTAGCCACCCAGGTGCCTCAAGTTAGTTTTCCAAACAAACTGAATTTCTCTCTCCTTCCTTTTTATTTATTGCTTAAAATTTTTTAAATTGTGGGGCGCTTGGGTGGCTCAGTTGGTGGAGAAGGCTGCTCTTGATTTTAGCTCAGGCCATGATCTCAGGGTCCTGGGATGAACCCTAAGTTGGGCTCCATGCTCAGCAGGGGGTCTGCTTCTCCCTCTCCCTCTGCCTCTCCACCCCCGTTCATGTTCTCTCTCTCTAAAATAAATAAATCAATCTTTAAAAAAATTTTTGAGTCGTGGTTAAAAATATCCAGTAGGCCCTCCTTATCCGAGGTTTTACTTTCTGTGGTTTTATTTGCCCCCAGTCCACCAAGGTCTGGAGGCAGATGATCCTCCATCTGACATATCACTGGAAGGTCAGTAGTCGCCTAACCCTCTTTGCAATGCCTACAGCATGCATCTCACTTCATCTCATCATGTAGGCATTTTACATCTCACATCATTATAAGAAGGGCAAGCTCAATGCATCAAGATATTTTGAGTGAGAGAGAGATCATATCCACATAACTTTAGTTACAGTATTTATTAGTTATTAATCTCTTACTGTGCCTAATGTATACATTAATATCATAGGTTTGTATGAAAAAATAGGGTTTGGTATTGACCACAGTTTCAAGCATCTATTGGGGGTCCTAGAATGTATCCTGTGCTGATAAAGGGGGACTATGGCATAACATAAAATTTGCCATCTTTGCCATCTTTTTAAAAGTAGGTTCTGTGCCCAGCATGCAGCCCAACTCGGGGCTTGAACTTGCAATCCTGAGATCAAGACCTGAGGTGACTGTCCCATTAAGTAGGACACCTAACCCATTGAGCCACCCAGGTGCCCCTTATCTTTACTATTTCCAAATGTACAGTAATGTTAAGCATATTCAAGATCTCCAGAACTTTTCTATCTCGCAAAACTGCAACTCTATACCCATTAAAGGACAGCTCCCCGTTTCCCCCTCCACCCAGGCCCTGGCAACCACCCTTCTACTTGTTGTCTCTGAATCTGACTATACGCCTCATATAAGTGGAATCACACCATATTTGCCCTGTTGTGAAGGGCTTATTTTGCTTAGCATAATGTCCTCAAGTCAAATTGCATTTCTTTTTTTAAAAAATATTTTATTTGTTTATTTATGAGAGGCACACAGAGAGAGAGAGGCAGAGACATAGGAAGAGGGAGAAGCAGGCTCCATGCGAGGGGCCTGATGCAGGACTCTACCCCAGGACCCTGGGATCACAATGCGAGCCGAAGGCAGATGCTCAACCACTGAGCCACCCACATGCTCCTCAAACTGCATTTCTTAACTCAGAATCTGTTTCTCTACCTCAGCAGGGTGATTTTTTTATTATTTTACCAAGCTCTCATCTGAAGTGGCCCATCCATACATTTTTACATACATTAATACCCTGCCTGGGCAGCAGGGGCATCTCTCTGTTCTCTCTGTGATTCGGACTCCTCTCTTTTGAGAAATGCTGGATTCCACGCATGACAGGATGCTGAGAGGCATTTGTGGACAGTAGCTGGTGACCCTACATCGGCTGTCACTTCCCTTCACTGGGCATTGGTGAGGGAGGTCCCCAATCCTTCACCTCCACGATTTAAGTCCAGGGGGCCCCCTTGGTGACCAAGTATTGAGAATGGGCCTTTTTTTTTTAGATTTATTTATTTATTTATGATAGACACACACACACACACACAGAGAGAGAGAGAGAGACAGAGGCGGAGACATAGGCAGAGGGAGAAGCAGGCTCATGCCGGGAGCCCGACGCGGGACTGGCAGGGCCAAAGGCAGGTGCTAAACCGCTGAGCCACCCAGGGATCCCCGAGAATGGGCCTCTTGAGAGGCCAAAGAGCATAGAGGAGGAGGAGTATGGATAAGGAACTTTAGTTTCTAGATCTGTGAAATGGGGATAAATGCCAATTTTGTAAGGCTGTTGTGGGGATGACAGAGATAGTGTGCATGCAAGGGTCTAGGTATCCAAAAGTTCCTCCTCTCCACATGAGAGTTCCACCTCTCTTCTCTGGGGTGCTGGTTACGCCGGGCGTTCAGTGTGTAAACTTTTCCTGATCCCTGCACTTGATTGTCCACTTTCCTATGTGCACACTGAAGTAAAAGCTTATAAAAACGAGTGACCTTTTCCTCCTTCTGCAGACAGACTGGCGGTGCCTCAGGGTCTCAGGCAGCTTTTCCCTTTTCTGAGTGTGTGTGGGTGGTGGTGGGCAGGAAAGGGGTCTCCCCATGTTGGAGCATCAGGTCCATTCCAGCTTTCCCCTCAGCACCCTTCTGTGATGTTTCTCTGCCCCCTGGTGGTGGGAGAGGACCGCAGAAGAGGCACACTCCCAAGGGGTACCCTCAGTCCCTGCAGACTGCTTTGTTCCTGGCTTCTCACCTTCTCCCCACTTCAGCCAGGCTGGGAAGGATTTGAACAGGGTCCGGAAGGCTCCGGCCTGGGCTGGGGGTGGGGGACACAGGTAGGGGCGGGCAGGGCTCCAGGTGGAGTTGATTGAGACAGGGCTGCAGGTGGAATTGGTTGGGCTGGGGTTCCAGGTGGAGGCTGGAGAAGCTGCTATTTAAGGGGTGGGTGGTGGTGGTGGTGGCTGGCCTGTCCCTGCTGGGTGTTTGTGCTTCTGCTTGCAGCGGGGCCCGTGGGGACCACCGGACAGCATGAATATTGGAGGCCTCTGGCCTTGGGTGATGGGTCTGCTCTTTTTGCCGGGTAAGTTGGGTACTTTGTCTTTCTCTTCTCGAGTTTTGGCTCCAGCCCACGCCAAGTGCCTGTGGGTAGAGGCGAGCAGGGTGTGGCTAGAGCCCGCAGGGATCTGAATTGATCTGAATAGCTCAGAGAATGGGCTGCGGATGTTCCCAGAAACCGGTTCCGAGGGGTGCCCAGGGGAGGCCTCCTGAAGACCCTGAAAGCCTACGGCAGCGTCTGGCAGGAGGTGGCAGGTGTGGTGCTCCGGATGTCCTTGTTCTGCTGGCGTGCCAGGCTTGCCCAGCCCGAGTCTGTTTTCCAGAGGCTTGGGCTAAGAGGGGAGGCACGGGACAGGGTCCAGGCTACCTACCTGTACCACCTTCAGTGTTGTATCTGGGGCCTCTCCCTGTCTCTCTTCTGCTCCCCTCCCTATCTCATACACACAGCTAGCTACTCAGGCCTGGGGCTGCTTTTTAGAACCCAATGTTGGTCCCCCTTTTTTTAAATTTTTTATTTATTCATGATAGACATAGAGAGAGAGCAAGAGGCAGAGACACAGGCAGAGGGAGAAGCAGGCTCCATGCCGGGAGCCCGATGTGGGACTCGATCCCGGGTCTCCAGGATCGCGCCCTGGGCCAAAGGCAGGCGCTAAACTGCTGAGCCACCCAGGGATCCCCCCAGTGTTGGTCTCCTTAAAGGAGCTCCTTCCTCAAAGTTGTCTAGGTGTTGTCACCATCTGGGACTGAGGGGAGGCCAGGCTACTTTCTGGAGAGCTGCCTTTGTCAAGGGCCTGGCTCCCCCCTCCCCCATGTCCTGTTGCCCTCTTTCACTAATGAGGGCACTTTGGGCCTCATGTATATCCACCTGTCTGGGCCAGGTCTGATCCTAGGAGCACCCTCAGTCTCTAGCTCCCCAGAAGCATGTGGAACCAGCTTCTCAGAGGACCTCAACCCTGAGGAGGAGACCCAGACATCCTGGGACAAGGACATCCCTGCGATTAACCAAGGTGAGGTCACTGTGTCTTCTTGTGGGGTGGAGGGGCTCTGAAATTGTCCCTGTAGTGTGGGGAGGACCATGCTGAACATGCAGATGAGCAGAACAAGCTGGAAATGTGCCAGTTTACTGGGTTAGCAGTTCTTAGTTCTATGGACAACTGTTTTTTTTTTTTTCCTTAAGATTTTATTTATTTGAGAGCGAGAGAGAACGAGCATAAGCAGGGAGGAAGGGCAGAAGGAAAGGGAGAAGCAGGCTCCCTACTGAGCAGGGAGCCCGATGTGGGGCTCCATCCCAGGACCCTGGGATCAGGACCTGAGCCCAAAGCAGATGCTTAACTGAGCCACCCAGGCGCCCTCTGTGGGCAATGCTTAAAAAGTGCATATTTCTGTATCCTGGATTGTTACTTTTATCAGAAATGAGAAAAGCTTAGGTTTTAAAAACTGGCCTGATGGAAGTATGGGTCTTTGGGCTGCTTCAGGTGGTGTTGAGCTAAGTCATTAGTGGATTGTGTGAAAAGATGGCAGCCACCTGGGGCAGGATTGTGTGCAGGTGTGAGGGTGTGAGCTGGGGGGGGTGGTAGACCAAGCAGCAGGAGGCCCCAATCCTCCCTGAGTGGGGATCTCAGCTGAAGATAGAGAATGTATAGATAACCTGGGAAGAAGCTGTGGGGGGCGGAGGGGGGAGACTGGAATTTGGGGGCTGGAGCTGAAGTGTTAGGGGGACCAAGGGGTGACCTTGCCTGGAGGGATGAGAATCTCCCCACACATAGTTCTGCCCTTTCTCTGGGAGCCCCAGCACTGGGGAGCGGGGCAGGGCAGTGTGCTACCTTTCGGTGACTGTGACTGGTCCAGAGGTGCTAGAAGCTATCTGAGGCTCTCCCGCACTGACTTTTCAGCACCACGGAGGACACCCCGGCGGGGCTGTGGGAGGCCCAAGAGTTCTCCAAGGTGCCCTTTACGGGGAAGCATAGGCCACCTGCAGCTGCCGGGAGTGCTGGCTGCTAGGGCCTCACAGCTGAGGGCCCTGCTGGGCCCTGGAAGCTACCCTCCCTCCCCTGCCAGGGGCCCTGCCTGGGATGCCTGGAAGCTACCCTCCCCTGCCAGGGCGACCCACGGTGACTCCCCCTACGGCCCGGGGGAGCCCCCTGCCTTAGTGTGGAACAAGTCTGGTGCCATCTGGGGTCCAGAGCTCCTGGGGGATCTGGCTGAGGCTGCAGTCCAGCAGAGCCTGGGTCTTCCCCACTTCCCCAGCACCCCCTCAATAAATCACTCGCAGGTACTTCCCTGTTTAGACTCTGCATCTAGAGAGCCCAACCTAATGTACCTTCAGGGCCAGACCCTTTTCTAGGGTTCCTCGTAGGGCTGACCTCTTAGTAACGAGGCTGTGGAGAAGGGCTGCCAGCTGTGGCAGAGATGGAGGCTGGAGAGAACAGTAGAGGTGTGCTGGCATGGGGTGGGGGGTTAGTGGGGAGAGCCAGAGGGCCAGGCTCGTGGGAGCAGACCCTGCCCTTCTGTGGTGGTACAAGCTGGAATTGGTCACCTGTCACTGTGAGGGCCCCGAATACCACACAGATGGGTAGGAATTAGATGGAGGGTGGTGGTGAGGAAGGGCAGGAGAGCCCAGGGCATGTTCCAGAGTGGGGAGGCGGGGATGACCTAGGGGATAGCTGGAAGAAAAGGCCAATCCTGATTAGCAGAGAGACTCCAATGTAAAGGGAAAAAATGGGACTAGATTTGCATGGGTTAGAGGAGCCACGGACTGTGCTCTAGCAAGAGAGCTGTGACTGGGCTGAGAAGCCTCATGCATGTTTGTGGACTGGAGACTCTGAGGGGCCGTGTGACTTGCCTGAGGTCACACAGCCTCCAGGCCCAGGGAAGTTCCAGCTTCAGAGTCAGGAAGGATAGACTCTGGGCCTGTCCCTAGAGTCTGGATTCGGGGGGGGGGGGCATGGGCTTACCCACATCCCTCCCTTTCTAGGGCTCATCCCAGAGGAAACTCCAGAGAGCAGCTTTCTCCTCGAGGGGGATATCCTTCGGCCAGTGAGTGTGAGCATGTACATAGAAGGGTGTGAATAATTTCACAGATAGCATGAGAGGCCTTTGAGTGTAGCCTCTGGTGTCATGGGAGCAGGACATGTGAGGAATCGATCTCTGTGGCTTGTAGCTTGAGAGAGCTTTAGCTTTTTGCTAAAGTCATGGTGAATATTCTAGAAAGAATTAGCCAGACTGAATGGGAGGGAAGGTAACATCTGCAGTGGTATGGCAGTCAGCCTGGGAGGACTTCCTGAAGGAGGGAGTTTGAGCCTTCAAGATCCAGCAGTACTCTGTCCAGGGGAGGTGCTCAGAAAGTATTGGAATGAAGAGCTGAGCGCAGACTGGCAGAGGGGCTGGTGGGGCTGTGGGGAAGTGGTGGTGGTGAACACTGGGGGTGGTAGCCATGGTCTGGGGAAGTAATGCAGGGGCCCCGTCCTGGTGGGAAGTGAGGGGTAGAGTCAGAAAGGGAGAAGGCTGATGGGAATTGGGGTGATTTGCCCGGGAGGCAAGAATGCACTGTGTTCAGGAGAACAGGGCCATCTTTTAAGAGACTGGGTGGGAGAAATATCTTCCTGAACAGGACAGCTACCTGGTGAGAGCAAGACCATCCTGCTGTTTGGAGGTGGCCCACCGATGGCGCAGCATGAGGCTGGGCTGAAGAGCCAGGGGCTGGGCTGGGGATGGTGGGTGGCGCGAGGCCCTGTTCTTGGTCACCCAGTGAGGACAAAAGAGTAAGAGCAGAATCCAGTAAAACTCGTGGTAGCCAGTGGGGCAGGACCCACTGGGGTGCCATAAAGCCTCTGCTTCAAAGGGTTTTTTTGGTTGGCAGAAGAGTTGAAAAAGGAGTTGCTAAGGCCAGGAGCGTCGCCTTAACATCAGCGTTACAAGGACCCTTCCTGGTCTTTGGACATTCAGGGATGCTTGGCCGACTGCTGTGTTTCAGGAAGGATGGGGCTGCTGCTGGAGAGCTGAGCTCTTCTGAACCAGCGTCCCCCCCCCCCCCCACCAGCTGGCGCTCCTGTCAGCCTCTCTAGGAACAAATGTTTTGCTCTCTTTGACAGAATAAGTTAGTTTTTTTTCTGTAGAACAAATGGTCCTGCTCTGTATCCTGACTCTCCTAGCAGGCCCGGATGTCCCACCCATCTGTTCCCCCCCCACCATACCTGCGTCCTGCTTCTCACACCTTTAGGGTTCTTGTGGCCTGAGATGTGGCAACTCTGGGGGGGGGGGGCAGGAAGCTTGGCTGGCCTGTGTGCCCAGGGGTCCCTGAGCCGCCCTCTCTCTTCAGAGTCCCTTCCGGCTGTTTTCCACTACCAGCAACAAGTGGCCTAAGAACGGGGAGGTTGTAGAGGTCCCCTTCCTGCTCTCCAGCAAGTATGGTGAGTGGGCATGTGCGCTCAGTCCTGGGAGCTGCGGGCCAGCCTCTGTACTCCCCTGTGTAGTCTGGGCTCCTCTCAAGTCTTCTCTCCTCTGCCTCTAGTTACCTTCACCACCCAAGAGCCCTTCCACAAGAAGCCTTTATTCCCGAGGGCCCCGGGGGGCTAGGAGGGCTAAAAGCCTGGAAGAGCTGTTGGGGGTACATATAAGGACTATTGCCTCTGCTTCCAGAGGAAGGGACCCACCCAAGGTTGCATAGCCAGGGCCTGTCTGGGACCCAGCTTCCCCTGTTACCCCCCCTCCTCCTGTGACACCCAGGCTGCCCTTTCTTGACATTCTATCTTGGAAGAGTGACTGGAGGTTCCATTCCCATCCTGCATGTGGCCTTCCGAGGGGTCATAAGGGCTTTGGGGTCTCTGCTGGAGGATCAGCCAGGATGTCACCTTCCCAGATAAACCCAGCCGTGAGGTCCTCCTGAAGGCATTTGCAGAGTTTGAGCGCTTGACGTGCATCAGGTTTGTCGCCTACGAGGGCCAGAGAGACTTCATTTCCATTATCCCCATGTCTGGGTAAGTGTTCCTGGGCATGTGTAACCATGCCCAAGCATGCACACACAGTGGGGGAGTTCTTCCGCTTTCTTTGGAGTTCAGCCTGGATTTACTGAAGCCATCGTTGAAAACCTGTTTCTGGGCCTGTCTTCTTAGGTCCAAAGCCACCCTGCCCACTGAGTGGTTTGCCGGGTGTGAGCTGGACCTAGGGTGGAGAGGGAGGGGGACGTGAGGTGCTTGACCCTCCTCACAAAAACCCTTCTCTGAGGGGACTTCATGGTCTGGTGAATGGGTGTGGCTTTTGTGGGACCCACTTGGCCTTGGATCTGGTCCTGCAGGGCAAGTGCCTTACACTGACACTGGGCAAGTGCCTTAACTTCTGAGGCTCTCCTGCCTTGTCAGTGAAATGGGGATGATGGAAATACCCATTTTCTAGCTTGTTAGGAACCTAAGATCCTGTGTGAAAGCTTTGACTTGGGGACCCTTGCATGGGGATGTTCATTCAATGAGCTGCTATACCATCATTGGTGCTCCTCCCTGTTCCTACATCTTCTTGCACCCCAGGCTGGGAATGGGATTCCAAGACACCTATTTCATGGATGGCAGTGAATGGACTTGGGAACTGCAAGCCTGGGGCCAGCATGCAGGATAGGGACTACCTGTTGGTGCTCATTCATCCCGGGACTGGGCGGGGGAGGGAGAGCGGGGAGGGTGAGAAGGGCCTAGGTATGCTCTGGATCTCGGGGCTGGTGCCTACCCATTGCTCCCTTGTGGCCCTGCAGGTGTTTCTCCAGTGTGGGACGCAGTGGCGGGATGCAGGTGGTATCCTTGGCACCTACCTGTCTCCAGAGAGGCCCAGGCATTGTCTTGCATGAACTCATGCATGTGCTGGGCTTCTGGCATGAGCACTCACGGGCTGATCGGGACCAGTACATTCGTATCAACTGGAATGAGATCATCCCAGGTAAGCCAAATCGTGCACAGCACAAACTGACCCTAGGATCCTGGGGGTAGAGGACATAGGCCAGGCCTGAGTTGTAGGCCCCTTCAAAAGAGGTTATACAGCTTTCCCACCACCTACCTGTCTACCATGGGGGAAGGTGGGGCTCCTGCTTCTCTGGAGACCTGGAGGTGGTCCAGATACTACTGCTCTGAGCTCCAAGCCGTCCATCTGTCTGCCCATAGTCCTGCCTGAGCTAGGGCATCACTATATTGCTTTGTGTCACCTCTTTTTCTCACGAACACAGCCAGTTACCTGAGGATGGAGTTAGTGGTATCCTTTTACCCTTGTTCGCTGTGTATTCAACTAGCAGTCCTGCATGTGCCAGACATTGCTGTGTGGGGTTGGGGCAGGGGCTGTGTTCTAGCTGCAAAGGTTGAGCCAAGACAGGAGCTCTAGAAGTAGTAGGCTGTGTATGCCAAGTGTCTGATCCTAGAGGCTGAGGACAGCAGAGCAGGGGCTGAGTCCTTGTGAGATGAGCACTGATGGACATATGGGACAGGAAGTGTGGGGAGACCACATCCTTGAAAGGTGGGCTGTAGCAGAGTTGACGCTGGCTTGTGGAGTGGGCCGCTGTGTTGGATGCCAGTGAGCAGGAACTGTGTGCTAGGTGTGGCACTGAGTGCTGGGCATCTGATCTCAGTAATGGTGTCTCCCTTGTGGGGGGACAGCCAGATTCAAGAGGTGAGAAGAGTAGAGACAATTGGCTCATGAAGGAGGGAAGCAGAGGAGATATGTGATCAGGAGTTTGGTCTGGGGAATGTGAGGGTAAAGGGGAAGGTTTGGAAGGCTTCCTGTAAGCGGAGAGCTCCTGGCGTGAGCACCTCTGCTGCTGTTGTGGGTGAGCCAGGTGAAGTGGTTGGGGGAAGGTACTCAAGAGACTAGCATGCATGGGGCCCCGGAGAAAGGGTGTCTTGTTGGGGGGACTTAGCTAGCACCTTATAATGAGACAAGGGATGAAACTTGAGATTTGAAATTAGCCTAAGGAAAGGGGTGATAATAGTGACTATACCCTGAAAATAAAGACTATAATCCTTCCAAGTGCTCCTGGAATACTTGGGAAAACATACCATATGATAGAAAAACTTCAAATTTGAAAAAGTTAATTCAAATGTTTTGATTGTGATACAAAATAAAAATAACCAAAACAGTCTCCTACTTAGGAGTTTTAAAAAACAATCTTTTCTTCTAGCTCCAGGGTTAAGGAATTGCAGGAATTCTTAAAACAAAAACAAACCCAACATACTAGGACCAATGGTTCCCAGCTAACACAACCCTCAGGGAAAATGTGTAGACTAAAATACTTATATCAATAAAAACAAAAAAAAATTAAGCATTTCAATCTTCAAGAAGTAAAGCAGGAGAGAATAAAGTTAAAGACAGAAATTATGAATTAGAAAACCAATAGCACTCATAAACTGAAATGGTTTTCTTAAGCAATTTCCCCCATTATTAAGAATGAAGAAAAATGAGAATACATCGGTATAGTTATGTACAGAACAAATTGCTAAGATATACAAACTAATAACCATAATTAATTGGTGTGTGGGGGGTGGGAACTCCGAAGGGGGATGGAGTGGGAGGCTTATTATAGATCAACAGTTTTTGACTTTTGAACCAGATGAATATGTTGCCTGTTTAAAACAGTTTAATATCTTAGGGGTTTTTAATAGAAAGGATTAAGAATTCTCTAGAGGCAGGTGTGGAAGAGGCTGGTTGGGCCTGGGAAGGTTGGGGGAGTAAATCCAGAAGGTGTATCTGTTGTTTCAGAGGCTCATTGTGAAGGGCAGGAGAGCAGCTGAGGGAGGGAGTCTTGTCCCTCCCAGGCCTAGGGGATCCTAGTGATGGGGGAAAAAGTGGGTGTTCTGGCCAGTAGAGAAGTGTTGAACTCAAACCTGGGAAGTGGGTGTGTTGGTCAGAGGAACAAGGTGGCTTGCTGCTGAGGAGTGGGAGTTCAATGGCAGGTGATGGGCTAATGGGTCTCTAATGCTGGATTGAAGGGTTGGTACTTTATCTCACGGGCAGGGGACATTGAAGACCCCGAGTAGTGTGTGACTTGGTGGGAAGTATAGGTTCTACAAAGATAGTTGCAGACAGATAAGCTTGAGTGGAACAAGTAGAGTGAACTCTTTAGGAAGTCATGGGGTTCCTGTGTTTCCACATCAGCTAGTGGAGGTCTGGATCCTTCCTGGAGAGAGGAAGAGTAGGCAGTGAAGGCACAAAGGAGATGGGGACCAGGGACTAGTACTTGGTTGGGGGGTGCACATCTGGCTATGATTTGGACCCCTCAGCTCAATAGGTTACAGATCACTCCTCATTCTCCCGGCCCTCTTCCCTAATCACTAAATTTTGTGGGTTGTTTTTTTTTCTCTCCCAGGCTTTGAAATCAACTTCATCAAATCTCGGAGCAGCAACATGCTAGTGCCCTATGACTACTCGTCAGTGATGCACTATGGGAGGTGAGGGTCCCTTCTCCTTTTCTTCCTTCACTGCCCTGTCAGCCCCCCGTGTGATCTGGACTCTGGTCCCCACCTGCTGGGTTTCAGGCTTGCCTTCAGCCGGCGTGGGCTGCCCACCATTACACCGCTCTGGGCTTCCGATGTCCATATTGGCCAGCGATGGAACCTGAGCACCTCGGACATCACACGAGTACTCAAGCTTTATGACTGCAATCCTAGTGGTCAAGGCACCCATGGGAGAGGTGAGTGATGGGGTGGGGCAGAGTGATGGGAGGAATCTGGAGCAGGCTCCTATGTTGAAGTGGTGTCGATAAGGATGAAGAAGTAGAACTGAGGTTGCAGAGGTGAGCAGTGCAAAATCATCAGGGGTTTACTGCAGGAGATGTAGAAAAAGCATTTGAAAATTCTCATTTATGATTAAAAACTCTAAATAGGAGTAGAAGTCACTTTCTTAACTTTAACGTGGGGGTCTACCAAAAACCCAGAGCAAAAATCACTTTTAATGTTAAAGTGCTAAAATCAGGATCAAAAGCTTTTCCACTATTGTCCCATCTGTTCAGTGAAGGTCTTAGCCATGGTAATATGGCAAGAGAAATAATTCTGAGGATTGGGAAGGAGGCAGAAACTCACTACTCATAGATGATGGTTATCTACATTGAAAGCAACAAATAAGCAATGTGAATTTTATCTCATTCTTTAAAGATTTATTTGGGAGGGGAGAGGCAGAGAGAGCGAGAGAATGAATCTCAAGCAGACTTCTCGCTGAGCCTGATGTGGGGGTTGATACCATGACCCCAAAATCAGAACCTTAGCTGAAACTGAGAGTGGGATGCTCAACTGAGCCACCCAGGGTGCCCCAGGATTAAGAATTCTAAAAGGTAGATGTATAGGGAAGCCTGGGTGGCTCAGCGGTTGAGGGTCTGCATTTGGCTCAGGGCATGATCCTGGAGTCCCGGGATCGAGTTCCACATCGGGCTTTCTGCATGGAGCCTGCTTCCCCCCTCTCCCCCCCTCTCCCCCCTCTCCCCCCTCTCCCCCCTCTCCCCCCCTCTCCCCCCTCTCCCCCCTCTCTCCCCCCTCTCCCCCATAAAATCTTTAAAAAATAAGATGTATAGAACTATAACTTCTATATTGATTATATCAATAGTTGGAAATCAATTTTTAAAAACCCATTATAATTGTAATAATGTCCCAAGGAATCAAACTGACAGAAGTTATATAAAAAGTTCTTTTTTTAAAAAAAAAATTATTTATTTATTCAGTCAGAGCGAGAGCGAGGCAGAGACACAGGCAGAGGGAAAAGCAGGCTCCGTGCAGGAAGGACTCCATCCCGGGTCTCCAGGATCACACCCCGGGCTGCAGGTGGCACTAAACCGCTGCACCACCAGGGCTGCCCTATGAAAAATTAACCTTAAAGATTCTTAAAGATTCCTAAATACACAGAGACATGTATCCTGTTCATTAATAGAAAGACAATGTAAAACTCTCAATTCTGATCTATAGATTCAATCAATTCCCATTGAAAATCCCAAGAAGATTTTTGGCAATCTTGACAAAGTGATTAAAAACATGTATATAAAAACACAAAAGGCAGATAATAGCCAAGCTACTCTTGGAAAAAAAAAAATAGAGGGACTTTTCCTAGTAGATATCAAGATATGTAGTTTATAAAATACATTTATAGAAACATAACCCATATAAAAAATATATATGTAGGCTTGAAATGATAGTATATAAAATGGCTCTATAAATGCATAGCACTGGTGCAAGGACAGACAACTGCCCATTGAAACAATGGAAAGTCCATAAATGAATCCTACTAAGAAGTGGAATTTTGATAAAGGGGCATTGATGATCATTAGGGAAAGAATAGACTAGCAGTTAAATGCCTCTAGTTATCTTCTTTTTTTTTTTTAAAAAAAACCCAACTCCTTATGTACAAATACATTTCAGATATATAGATATATATATCTAAATATATATTTTTATATATATTTTATATATATATATATAGGCTTACATATAAATAGAAAAACGTTTAGGAAAAAACATAGTAAAATATCTTCAGGACCATAGGATAGGTAAGAATTTCTTAAGACAAAAGCAAATGAAAAAATTGGAAATATTAATGTTAACAACTATTAAAATACAGTATAACTATTAAAAGACCATGAAATTACAAGTTACAAATCAGAACTTTCGTAACCCATAGCTAGTTGTATCCAAAATACATAATATATATTATATAATATGCATAATAAAAAAAACCTGGAAGTACAAAGTAGAAAAACAGGCAAGAGACCTAATGAGTATCTTACAGAAGAAACCAAATGAGAAGTAAACGCAAGATATTCAACCTCATTCATAATTCAGGAAATGCAGATGAAGACCACAATTTTATCATTTTACACCCCTTAAATGGCATAAATTTACAAACTTGACAACACCAAATACTAGAAAAGAATTATGGAATAATGATCATGTTCATATCCTGACAAGAGTTTAAATTGCTACGACTGCTTTGGTAACAGTTTGATACCTTCTAAAGTTGAAGTGTGTATATTCCGTCACTTAGGTCATCTTGCATGTGCACCCCCCAACCCCAGCTCTAGGTAACCGTCCATTTACATTCTGTCTCTCTAGGTTTGCCTATTCTGGAAATTTCATGTAAATGGGATCCTACAATACATGACCTTTTGTGACTGGCTTCTCTTAGCATTTTTCAAGGCTCATCCATATTGTAGCTTGTAGGAGTCCTTATTCTTGTCAAATGACACTCCATTGTCTGGATAGGATATGTTTGTTGAAAGATATTTGGTTTATTTCTCCTCTTTGGGTAGCATGATTAATGCTATTAATGTTCATATACAAGGCTTGATGTGAACAGGTCTTCTCCTTTGGATATACACTTAGGAGTAGATTGCTGTGTCCTATGGTAACTCCAGATTTAAATTCTAGATTGTTTTCCAAATTGGCTGCATCATTTTTCACTCCCATGGGCAGTGTATGAGTGTTCAAATTTCTCCATGCCCTTGCCAACACTTGCTATTATCTATTCTTCAGATTATATCCATCTTAAGTGGGAATGAAATGATATCTTGTTTTGATTTGCATTTCCCTAATGATCTCTTTATATGCTTATTGGTCATCTGTATATCCTCCTCAAGAAATCTGTTTAAATCTTTTTGCATGTTTTTCATTTGGGTTGGGTTGTCTGTTGCTGAGTTATAGGATTTGTGTATTCTAGATACATGTCCCTTATCAAACTTTCTCTCTATAGGTTGATGGTGTCCTTTGAATACCAACCTTTTTAATTTCAACGGGGGTCTAACTTCTCCATCCTTTAACTGTGCCTTTGCTGTCCTAACTAAGTAGCTTTTGCCTAACCCAAAGTCATGAAGATTTAATCCTAAATCTTTTGTGTGGGACTATCCAGTAGTTCTAAGCACCATTTCTTATGCTGTTCTTCCCCTACATACTATCAAACATTATATGCTTTATTTTTTTAGTTAAAAATAATAGATGTGGCAAGAGCCTTGTGGGTAACTACCATGAGTAATGGAATTGGGAGGTGGCTGGAAGGGGCTGTGGGTCAAGAGAAGGTTTATAATGATGGTAGACATTCAAGTATGTTTGGATGCTGAGATGATGACCCATTGGAAAAGGAAAAAGGGTGGATTCAGAGGGTGGAGAGAAGAATATCTAAAACGTTTAGGTAGGGGCTGCTCTTGGTGGATAGGTCTCCAAGAATATATCTGAGCTTCCTTGGACCTAATGAGAAGGAAGACAGGAGCAGACCTAACTTTGCATGTGGATCTTGATGTGCAGATGCATGGGCTTTGGAGGACTTTGGCCACAAAGCATGACATGAAGTCACTAGCCTGGAGGTTGGGGAGAGGGGGATGGATGTGAAGGGAAAGGTGTGATGCTGCTGACTAGGCAGAAGAAGAAACCAGTTAGAGATCCCCTGTGGGGCTGTGGGTGGGGCTGGGGCAGCTGGCAGCCAGGTGGAGGCATGGCATAAGTTAACAACTTGGTTCTTCAGGACTGGGGTTTTGTGGGCAGGTGTGACAGAGGAAGGTACTTGAGGAATAATTGTAGTGAGGACCGTGGAGCCCGAGTCAGGTGCAGAAAATAGTCTAGAAGTGAAAAGGTGGTAGAGCAGGAAGACCTTGGGGTCCATGAGCTCAGTGGGGCTGCAGAGGTGTGATATTTAAACAAGTGGGCTGGATGTACAGGAGTGGGCTACCAGGCACTGAGACTTCTGTAGTGGTGGTTTCTGGTATTGCCCAGGTCTGGGGGAGGGAATGAGCTGAGGTCAATGCGACGAAGAAGGAGAAGAGTCCCTGGTTGCAGCATGTCAGCTCTGATACAGTCAGTGTCTGTTGATGGAAGACTGGGTTCCTCGTGAAGCCTTTGGTGCATGGGCAGGTGTGACAGGGGTGAGAGGCAGCACCAAGAGGGTGGAGGGGCCTGGCCAGATAACCTGGGCTTAGGAAGAGGAGTTCTACAAAGGAACCAGCAACAGCCATGGCCCAGGAGTGGCAGTGAAGAGCAAGGAGGACCCGTCCTCCTGAATGCATGTGCTTGATGGTGATGGAGGGGGTTGCACATGTGGGAGAAGTTCTGTAGGAGGCCTCAAATGCGGGGTGAGAGGCATGGTGTTGCTCAGTACGGAGGGTCCCAGGAGGTATTGGGCTAGTGAGGGCTGCAGTGCTATCAGCCCTCAGCTATCTGGTGAGTTGACCATCAGCAGCTTGGGGTATGGGCAGGAGGTCATGGAAGACCCCTGGGGCCTGACTTTCTGGTGGCGACTAATGAGCCAAGAGGGGAGGGAAAGGGATGGTTCAGTAGACCTTTAAGTGGGAATTGAGAACTTAGGTCCTAGCAGGGGTGTGGCAGGTTCGGAGCTGAGCTAGACCTGTGAATAAAACTGAAGATGGCTCCAGCTTTCTATAGCTGGGCCACACATTTTCCTTCTGTGATTCTGGCACATAACCTCCTGTCTTTCCTGCTTCAGGGTTCCAGCCCCACAGCGATGCTAGGAGCCCTACTCCTGCCTCTAGACCATACCTGCAGCAGCTTCTGAAGGCACTGTTGGCACAATCTGGGAGCCCCGACCCCAGTGGCTCCAAGGCAAGAGGCCAGCGTGTGGTTGCAGTGCCCGGAGAGAGCCCCCGTAGCTGGGAGCTCCCTGCGCTGAGGGAGGTGGGTGGGGAGGCCTCTGCAGGGCTGCTTCAGATCCCAGCTTCCTCCCTAAACTCACGGCCTGGAGCAGGTGTTCCTGGGATTTCTCTAGAGACCTCCTGGCTGGCCCAAGTGCCCTCTGTACCCCCAACCACAGCTCCAGAAGCAGAAGACCAGCTGATGCCCAACCAGGACGCTTTAGGGAACTCAGCTCTGCCAGGAGCTCGTGTACCTGGAAGTCCTTTCAGGGGGATGCCCAGAGGTCAAACCTGTGGCTTCTGTCCCCAAGTGGGAAGGGCATCTTCTGTCTAGAGTAGCTGGGTTGTGTAACTCCTGGCCTTACCGGGCAGTACCCTGTCTTTCAGCCCCAATCTGGCTACCATCTCTGAGGTCTAGGACTCTCCCTCTGCCCCTTCCTTTTCTATATATTCTCCTGAATGATCTAGGGGACAAAGGGGACTTCTAGGTCTATCAGGAGAAGGCAGGCCTCACAAGAGACTGGCTGTGCCTGCTCTCAACTTCTGCCCTAGCCCTGGAGGCTGCTGGGAAGGGGAGGTGATACTCTCCAGGAGACCAGGGGTCTAGAGAGGCCTGGCGGAAGCAGGTTCCAGCCCTGAAGGCCCCTGGGAATTCTCCTCTAGGGGAGTCCCAGCCCCCTAGCATGCTAAGGTACTGCCTCTAGCTCTCCCTTGGGCCTGAACTTAGGGGGAAGACTATGGCTGGGGCCCTGGGAACAGCCTCACATCTCTGATGTTTGGGTGCTAGGAATATTACCCTGCAGCTGTAGCCTCCAGCCCCACTCCCCATGAGACTTTCTGCTTGCTCCCGTGCAGTGGTGGAAGGTTCCCGCTGCAGGGATGCTGCCCTATGGGTTGGTAAGGAGGGGTGGAAGCCCTCCAGCCTTGCACAGTGGGGAACTCAGCCAGAATGTGAGGCTCCTGGACACAGGATTCAAAGTTCCTCTCTACCTTGCTCTCCTGTTCCTGGAAGCCTTCCCCCATACCAGCCAGGGACTTGGCCAGAGGAGGCCCTGGACGGTGGGAAGGGGCTGGGAGGAGTAGGTGGGGGTTGGGAGGTAGAGGGGTCAACCTGCTGTTCTTCCTTTAGCAAAGCCCTACCCTTAGCTCCTGCTTCCTGGGGGAAGGCTATCCCAAGAGTGAAGAAAGTCTCTGGCCTTGGGGAGAAAGTATTCTTGTGGCCTGCTGGGAGCCCCAGTTGGAGTAGGAGGGAAGTAGGAGCCTGTGTCCTTGCCCTATGGGGCCCAGTGCCTCTGATATTCTGGGGAGAAGGTAGAAATAAAATTGGGTACTTGCTCCAGGAGCCAGGTACTGGGCTACGTGTGAGTGCATTTAATCCTGTTGACCTGGGAGGGGCCCTTTGGTGGTTATACCCACTCTGGGAAACAGGTGGACATGGCTGGGGGAGCAGGGCTGCGGCTTGCAGTGCTTTGGTTCTGGGGAGGGCTTGGCCTTTGCCAGCCCCTCAGGGGATATGAGGGCTTGTGTGCAGGAGGCTGGAGCCTCTTGCCCTCCATCCATCTTGGGTTTCAGTCTTCAATCAGGGATTTTTCTCAGACTGAACAGGGTCCTGGTCTCAGGGATTAGCAGCAGGGAAAGGTCATGGGGTGGGGAACACACTGTCCCTCTACCTCCCTCTGGACCTGAGAGTATTGTCTAGGTGAGTTTAGAGTGGGTGGGTGCTGGGAGTATCTAGCCATGTTCCTAGCATGGTGACAGCTCCCCTGGGAGATTCCCAAGCAAACATTGAGAGTGTATGTAGTGCCCCCATTTATCAGAGAAACAAGTGACTGCCTTACCACCTTAGAGACTACCCATGGGTCTCAAAGTAGAGACCTCTGGTGCAGGGCTGGGTATTCTTGGTGACCACACTGGGTCAGAGGAGAAGTGCTCTGTGCCCTGTGAGGCCCTCCTAGCTCTCAGAAGCTGTGCATCATTAGCCTCCATTAGGATGTGGCTTTTGGATTCTCCAAAATTTGGGTTATTTTGGGTGGAGGGGCTGGCCAAGCCTCATGGCTCAAGGGCAAGAGTGTTTCCTCCCTCATCTTTGGGGGTGATCAGGGATGAGGCTGTCCTTGTCCCCCCCTCCCATGAAGTCACCTAGCACTACAGACCCCATTCTCCAGGCCTAGTCCACTAGCCCCACTCTGCCCCTATGGTCCAGCCTTGGCTCAGCCTCTGAAGTCCTGGAAGGGGGGTGGGGTATGCTAGGGATGAAGCCATGGGCTGTTAACTGGAACCCGGTGGCTAGCAACCCATCTCAGGCTCTCTGGCTTATTCCCTAATCCCCCAACCACATATTTATTCATTCGACAGAATCTATTGAATTAGGTGCCAGGCTGGCTATGCTCTTGCCATTGGGATTAACCCAGTGAGCAAGGCAAGGTTTCCATTCTTGTGGAGTTTATTAAGATTTTGAAAGAGTGAGGACGAGAGAGTACAGAGAGAGGGAGAAACAGGCTCCCAACTGAGCAGGGAGCCCGAGGGGGAGGGCTCCATCCCAGGAACCTGGGATCATGACCTGAGCCACCCAGGTGCCCCTCTTGTGGAGTTTATTTGGGGGGTGGGAGAAGGATGGACAGTAAATAAGTCCTCAGGGATTGATAAGTGATGGGGGGAAGGGGAATATTCCTTTAGGTTGTTGGCATTTCACTGGGACCTGAATGATGGAGACTACACCGTGGAAAAAGTCCAAGGAACTAGTCAGTGCAAAGGCCCTGAGGCAGGAGGGAGTTAAGGTGTGAGTGGAGGGATGAAATGAGGTGGAAGGAGGTGGGCAGGGTTGGAGAGGGATGATTTTATTCCAAGAGCAACAGGGAGCAGTTGCTAGAAGATTTTTAAGGAGGGAAGTGATGAGCTCTAAGCTCCTAAAAATCATCCTATATGCTCCATGGAGAATTGACTGGAAACAGGGAGAACAGGTGGAAGGGACTACAGTTGTGCAAACCAGAGTGATGGGGTATGGAAAGGGGAAGAGTGAATGCTTTTGGAGCATGTTTTGGAGGTTGAGGCAACCACATTTGCTATTGGATGTACACGTGGGGACACCACATACAGCATAGAGCCCTCAGGGTAAGTGAGGGAGTGTGTAGGCTGAATGAACCTGGAGTTCAGGGCAGGAAATGTACTTCGGGGAGTCCTTAGCATCTAGAGGGAGTTATAGGCCTGGATGAAATTACTAAAGAGTTTGGGTCCAGAATAAAAGGGAAAAAGAAACCCTAGCACTGAACAAGGGTGCTGCAAGATTAGGGCAGCATTAGTAGTGTTTTTGTGCCTTATAATTGTTGTGGGGGTGGTCCTGTATTTTCTAAGTTCAGCATCCTTGGCTTCTACCCACAAGATGCCAGTACCATCCCCCTTCTTTTTGTTGTGACCATCAGGAATGTCTCCAGGTACTGGATTGCCAAATGTCCTTGGAGGAGAAAGGGCAAAATAAAATCACAGAATCGGCGATTGGGAGTCTGGGGTAGAAAAGGAGGTTGAGAAGGAAGGGAGCCTGTAGTGTTCTCAGGGAAGGGACCAGTCTGTTGTCTAAAATGTTGCTGAGAAATTAGGACACACTTGATGGCATGGAGTCACGAATGACCCACCAGGAGTAGATTCAGTGGAGGACAGGGTGCAGACACCCAGTGGAGGGTTAAGGAGCGAATGTGAGGATTGGAGAGAGTGCAGTGAACAGTTTGAAACAGCAGCAGCTGTCGGGGGGCACAGAGGGCTTCCTGGGGCATGGGGGTGGCCCTGGATCAGGGGAGGAGTGACAATGGAGGGTGATGATTGCAGGAGTAGAGTCCTGGAGGACAGGAGAGGGTTTGGGACACATGCAAAGGTCCTGCCCTCCCAGCAGAGATGGAACTCAGTTGTAGGTGCTGGCAGGGGGTGCGGGTCGTGAATTTCTGCTTGAGGGATTTCATCTTCTAAGTCTGGGGCAAAGTCACAGCTTGGAGTGGAGGAGGGTGTGCAGGTGAGGAGGATGAGCAGGATACCGATTCTGAAGGGGAAAGGTGAGCACACTAGGAAAGTCTGGAGATTTGTGGTTATGACTTTAAAGCAAGGCCAGTTGATGCGGTGAGTGTTTTGCTCCGGAAAAAGCAGCTGCTTTGGCAAAAGCAGGGTGGATGATTTAGGTCTGCCCAGGCTTGGGGTTTTGTCAGGTGAGGTGAGATAGAGGAGAGGGTGATGGACTTGCATTATAGAGAGCATGACTCAAGGGTCTGGGAAGATGGGGAGGATAGGGTCCTAGGGATTTGAAAGGCTGGGGCTTCTGGGGAGAGCTAGAGTGTGAAGCCCAAGTGGGCATCCTCCCTATGGAGCCCTGGCACAGGAGAATCTGGAGCCACTCTTTTCTCTCAGGCCTGGACAAGTGGCCCCAGGGCTTTCAACTAAGGTGGCACATCTTCCACAGCAGGGATGGGACCATTGTCCCTGTTTCTTTGGAAAAGATGGTACTAGGTCACCTCCCCTTCACCCCCATTCCGAGGGCATCCCTTAGGGACACCTTCATCTGGACACTACCTGAGAGAGGCTTGTGTTATGTCATCCACTGATGCCAGGCTGCCACTCCCCCTCATCATTTAGCAATCTTGGCCAGTATTAGGGACAGAGAAAGGATGTAGTGCTCAAGTCGGGGTGGAGAGTGATATGGCAAAGCCATATGCCACCACCTCAGTACATCTGAGTGTGAAAGTGGTACTGTGTACGTGGAGTCAAAGAACGTGGACATTGGGGTACCTCTTTCTCCCTGGGAGGGCAAAGGGTGAGAGGTGAGGGCCTTGGAGAGAGGGCTCACCAAGCACAGAAGGAACAAGCTCCTGGGAAGGACTGGAGATGTGGGAGCTCAGGAATGGTCAGGGACCACCACCTTCCTGGTGGGGCCAGGAAGGTGGCCCGTGCCCCTCACGGTTTTCTTCTCCCGCCGCAGGTGGCTGGGAATGCATTAAGGCGGCTCCTGCTGCTGGAGGCTCTGGCTCTGGGTCTGGGTCTGGGATTGAGGTCGGCCAGCCCCGGTGGAATGGAATGGCAACAGAAGGTCAGCTCTAGTTTGGGAAGAGCTGACTGGGAAGCCTTGCAAAGGCCCAAGTGGGGAGGAAAGGGCAGGGGAGAGAGTCTGAGCAGCCCCGACTGCAGCTCCTTTGGGGGTCCTGGTGCCTTTCAAGGAAAAGTTGGGTCAGGAAACACAGGGCTGATGCTGACTGCAGTGTCTGGGGAGATACCCACAGAGCCCCCGGGTCTGAGTATGGAGAGGGTGAGAAAGCGGTCCTTCAGTCCTTCCTCAGGGAAGGGGCCCCTGAGACTCCTCCAGCTCTGGCAACCACAGGCCCAGGCTCAGCCCAGCCAGCGGGTGGGGGATGCATCCATAAAATCTGTCTCCGGAGAGGTAAGAGAGGCTGGTTGTCCTCTCCCACCATCAGCTCTAGGAGTACGCGGACTTAGAAAGGAGCAGAGTAGGATGGCAGGAAGCAGGGACAGCCCTGGAGGGAGGAGCCCCTCCACTTCTGTGCAAGCCTGGATCGGGGTGAGACCGTGTAGGCACTGAGCGGTCAGTCCCCGTTCTGGTCTGGTTCCACGAAGATGAGCAGGCGGGAAGGCCCAGTGTGCGCGCTGCCTCCAGGCGGGATCCTTTGGAGGAGCCCTACTTTCAGAGGTGGCTTGATGCTTATTTATACAGAGGATCTCCTGCAGAGCCATGGGCTATAAATATGAGGCCTGGCTCTAGGCTGGGGTTACAACACCAGGGGCTCCAGGAGTGGTGGAAAAAAAGATGTGTCCTCAAGGCTGCCCAGAGTGACACTGGTGGCAGCGGCCACAGAGTGAGTAGGGCTGAGGGGGAGCCTATGGCTCTTGGAGTCAGGGATGGGGTGGGGTGATTAATCTGAAATTTCGTATCTAGCTCCTTCCACAGCCATTCCATATGTAGAGGAGTGAGCAGGATTGCGGGGGAGGGTGTGGGGGGGTTGGTCACAACACAAAGGGACGCTCCTACCTTCCTAGCTGCCCCCGACACCCACTTTTTCTCTGAGTTGTGTTAAAAAGCTGAGACTGGAGTCCAAGCCAGTTTTCCTCTTACCTTTTTGCCTTCAGTGAAGGAAACCGAGAGAGCTGCGGGGGGAACAGGAGAGCTGACGTCCTAAATCTTTGAGCACTCGCCTTCCCCACCGGCCTTGGGAACCTCCTCAGGGCCCCCCAGGACGCTGCGACCGGCGGGGCCTCCGGGTGCCCGCGAGCTGCAGACAGCGGGCGGCGGCAGGGGGCGCCCGCGACCCGGCCACGGACGCCTCCCAAGGCTCCGCAGGTCCGACGGGGTCCGGTCGGGGCAAGGAAGCCCTCGCGGAAGGGGCGCCGGGCAGTCTCCCCGCTCCCCCCACCCCACCCACTCGGCTTGCTTCTCCGGCGTGGTTCATTACGCCCCGGGGCCCCACCCAGCCACTTCTCCTTGGGGCCCCTGGGCGGCGGGGGCAGGGAGCGGCCGGCGCCCACCGTCCTGGCTGCGGTGCTCGGGCCGGGACTGCTGCAGAGAGGTCCCGCCTCGGTCCCAGCTCCCCGTTCGCTCCTGCAAGCATCCTTCCCGGAGTCCCGAGGACCCCAGACGCCGGTCGCCCCGACTTCCCGTGGCGCGGAGGCCGGGAGGAGGAGGGGCAGGAGCGCCAGGGCAGAGGCGCGGGGCGCCAGGGCGCGGGGCGGCTGCGGCGGGCCGGGCCTCCCGCCGGGCGCACCTTCCGCGCGCCCCGGGTCCGCCCGGCCGCGCCCCGCCTCCTCCCTGCCCGCCTCCCTGCCCGCCTCCTGCCCGCCTCCCTGCCCGCCTCCCGCTCCCGCTCCCGCTCCCCCCGCCTCCTCCCGTCTCCTCCCCCCTGCGCGCCCGCTCTCCTCGCATTCCCCTGCCGCGCGGGCTGCCTGCAGGCGCGGCTCCCGGCTAAGCCCGCGAGCCGACCCCGACAACCGGTGGCGCGGCCCCGGCTCGGCCGCAGGGCCCGGCGCCCCCGCGCGCGTCCGGCAGCCCCGCGGCGGGAGGGCTCAACTTTCCTCCGGTCCCGGGCGGGGCGGGGCGGGGCGGGGCGGGCCGGCGGCGGGGCAACTTGAAAACTTCTCCGGGGAGGACGGCGGGGACGCCGGTACCGGTGGAAGAGGATGTAGGAGGGCGGCGGCTGGCCCCTTTCCGCCCGGCCATGGGGCTCCAGCGCCTCCTGCGCCGCCGGGGGGCCGAGCCTCCCGTCTAGCCTCGCTCCGCAGGACGGTGCCGCCCCCGCCCCCGCCCCGGCCCCCGCCGAGCGCGACCCCTCTGGGCGCGCCCCGCCCCGCGCCGCCCCGCCATGGACCACCAGGAGCCCTACTCGGTGCAGGCCACCGCGGCCATCGCGGCGGTCATCACGTTCCTCATCCTCTTCACCATCTTCGGCAACGCGCTGGTCATCCTGGCCGTGTTGACGAGCCGCTCGCTGCGCGCCCCGCAGAACCTGTTCCTGGTGTCGCTGGCCGCAGCCGACATCCTGGTGGCCACGCTCATCATCCCCTTCTCGCTGGCCAACGAGCTGCTGGGCTACTGGTACTTCCGGCGCACGTGGTGCGAGGTGTACCTGGCGCTCGACGTGCTCTTCTGTACCTCGTCCATCGTGCACCTGTGCGCCATCAGCCTGGACCGCTACTGGGCGGTGAGTCGCGCGCTCGAGTACAACTCCAAGCGCACCCCGCGCCGCATCAAGTGCATCATCCTCACCGTGTGGCTCATCGCAGCGGTCATCTCCCTGCCGCCGCTTATCTACAAGGGCGACCAGGGGCCCCAGCCCCGCGGGCGCCCACAGTGCAAACTCAACCAAGAAGCCTGGTACATCCTGGCCTCCAGCATCGGCTCCTTCTTTGCACCCTGCCTCATCATGATCCTTGTCTACCTGCGCATCTACTTGATCGCCAAACGCAGCCACCGCAGAGGTCCCAGGGCCGCGGGGGCCCGCGGGGAGGGTGAGTCCAAGCAGCCCCACTCAGTCCCCACGGCAGCTTCAACCAAACTGCCAACCCTGGCCTCTCTGGCTGCTTCTGGAGAGGCCAATGGACACTCGAAGCCTACTGGGGAGAAGGAAGAGGGCGATACCTCTGAAGATCCTGGGACCCCTGCCTTGCCACCCAGCTGGTCAGCCATTCCCAACCCAGGCCAGAGTCAGAAGGAAGGCGTGTGTGGGGCATCTCCAGAGGAGGAAGCCGAGATGGAGGAAGAGGAGGAAGAGTGTGAGCCTCAGGCCTTACCGGCGTCTCCTGCGTCAGCTTGTAGCCCACCCCTGCAGCAGCCACAGGGTTCTCGGGTGCTGGCAACTCTACGTGGCCAGGTGCTCCTGGGCAGGGCTGTGGGCACCACGAGCGGGCAGTGGTGGCGTCGGCGGGCACAGCTGACCAGGGAGAAGCGGTTCACCTTTGTGCTGGCCGTGGTCATTGGTGTTTTTGTGCTCTGCTGGTTCCCTTTCTTCTTCAGCTACAGCCTGGGTGCCATCTGCCCACAGCACTGCAAGGTGCCCCATGGTCTCTTCCAGTTCTTCTTCTGGATTGGCTACTGTAACAGCTCGCTGAACCCTGTCATCTATACCATCTTTAACCAGGACTTTCGCCGTGCCTTCCGAAGGATCCTCTGCCGCCAGTGGACCCAGACGGCATGGTGAGCCACCTGCCCGCCGCCCATGTGGGGTTGGTGCCAGGTGGCACCAGGGCCACTCTGATTCTTCCCTGTTATGTGGCCACCTCCCTGGGGCTTTCTGGTCCTGCAGACCTCATCTTGGGAGCCCCCTGGGAGGGGCAGGGGCAGGGGTGCTGTTAGCAGGGGTCCATCTGAAGCCTCTAAAGCCAGGCCAGGTTAGAGCACTTCCCTCCCAGTACCCCAAAGCCCCTGCAAGCCCATGAGTGGGCTTTCCTTTTCTCCAGGACCCTGTGTTTCCTGGCTGGTCACTTGCTTGTGGTGGTTTTGATTCTCATCTTCCCCTGGTAAAGAGCAGGAAGCCAGCCTTCCACTTTTCCCAGGAGGACGTGCTGCTGAGGAGGAGACAGAACTGAGGGATCCATGTTGGATGCCCATGGTCCCCATCAGGTCCTGGGTGGGGGAGGTTATGGTCTGGCATGGTTTCTGGGCCTTCTTCCCTTTCCACCTACTTTTGGATTTGTAGCTCCTTTAAGGGCCAGAACCTTTTCTGGAATAGTTTCCTCACCGGGCACCCTCTGGGAGGTGGGCGTGTACCAGTGGATGCCTCGCCTTGGTGGGGTGGTCTGGAGGCCTGGCCTCTGCCTCAACAGGAGATCCCTGATCACTGGCATTCACCCCCTGCAAAAACCTGGCAACAATGGCTTGCCGCCTACTTGCTGCAGGAGGATGAAAGCCTTTGCAGAAAGCTTTGAGCTCCATGGGGAAACGCACTAGAGAACCAGAAAATGTGATTATTTGGTGACATAAAAAGCCCCTTTCTCTGTGTTTACCACCACCTGTCTTCCTATAGACTTTTGTTCTGTGCTTGGGGTGTGTGAATTCTTACCCCAAACTGGAAGGGGGGAATGATAGAACCACTATTTCAGTCAAAGGATTTCTTCGAGAACGCATTCTTGCACCTGCAAGGGTTTAGTTATTCTGCTGCATGACAACTTCTCGACATTTCACCTACAACACTATGGGGATTTTCAGTGGCTTGGGCCCCCCAATGGGGGAAAAGTCTTTTGTCATCAAGCAGGCTAATTGTTTCCCCACAATAGCTAAAAATACCCACACCATGGGAGCAGTCTGGGGTGAGAGCCTGGGATGGGTGACAGAGCTCCTGGGTGTGGTGCTGGGGCTGGAACAGGTGAATGGGGGCCCTGTGGACTCCTGCAGGAGCCTCCCACCAGAGCGCCCAGGCCAGGGCTCCAAGCCCCCAATGGGTCCCTGTGATGTATAACCGACCCTACTCTGGGTGGGGGCCAGTTGGCCATATCTGACCCAGCCCCATTGCTCTATCCCCCTGATGGGGCTCCAGGGGCCTCTCCCTCCTGGTTGTCTCCCCATCCCAGGACCCGACAACCAGAGCACTTGGGAGCATTTGAAGGACGTTTCCCCTTCTCCAAGGAGTGGCCCTGCTTTGACATTAAGCCAGCGGGTATCTAGTGTTGGCACAGTGACACTCTGGTGGGCCTGGCCAGATTTGGAGAAGTCCTGAGAGAGTTTTCTGGGGTGCAGGGAATGGAGAGGACCAAAGAGAGTCCCTTCTGGGGATAGGGACTCCCTCAAGCTCAGTGTAAGGCCTGGGCATGGTCTTGGGGCAAGGCTGGGGAGGCTGGGGCCAGGGGAGTGGCTGACTTGTGACATCTGCTGACTGGTCTTGTGTGTGTCCCATGGGACTCCTGCGATTGTGGCTGCCTGTGGCCCCTTTGTTGTGATATGCAGGTGTTTTTGTTTTGTTTTGTTTTTTTAAAGTCTGAGCTATTTTATCAATAAAGGATATTTTGTAATAATTGAGCTGTGTCCTTGTTGCCCAAAGGCTGCCAAGAGTGATTATTTCTCAGCTACTTGCATAGTATCTCTAAGCATGGGCTCCCTCCCAGGGCCACTTGCCCTTTCCTCCCCTAGGCGTGGCTGCCTGGTACCTACTTACCTGCCCACCTGCTTTGTCCACTCAGCATCCCTTATTGCAAGTCAGTGGGATGAGAGTGGCCAGAGTAGCCTGAGACTGGCTGCTTACCAAAGGAGGAGAAGAAGGGCTTCCCAGAGTAGGGGGTCTTGGGGGAAGAACAGGAGTACGCCAAGAAGCAAGATAGAAGAGGTGTTTATGACAAGGGACAGCATGTGCCAAGGGTGTGGTTTGGTGGATTCGAGATGGCTTGAGAGTCAGCCTGAAGTTAGCCCTGCCTTGTGGTCAGGTGTGGCGGCTGGGGGCCAGAGCAGGTCATCGGACACCACCCACAGGGGGCAGGAGGAGCCTGGAAGGCAGCAGGAGAGTGCTTTCAGCTGCTGCCTTCCGTAGGCAGGAGAATGGACTAGAGCTGCTCTGCTCCGGACTCTCCCACACTATGATTTGGTCACAAACACCAGAGTTGGAGGATCTGCAGATATCACTCCTATCAATCTCTTTGTTTCTCAAATGAGGCCTTTGAGACCCCAGGGCCACCCAGGGAGTTGGGTGAGGAGTTGGTCCACCAGGCATCCCGTTCCACCTCCGTGAGGGTAGCCTCTGAGGCCCAAGCCAGGTTGGCCTGGTTCTGAGGGCAGAGGAGGCCCCGGGGAGGGGTGAGGCCTGGGAAGGAAGGGCAGAGGGAGGAGCAGTGAGGCCCCAGGGTATGGTGATAAGAGGCCATCTCCCATATCCAGGATTCACATTTCCCAGGGCCATGGCTTCCGCCACAGGTGACCGATGGAGACTCCTATGTATCCACCATTGGTGGTGGACACGGAGACTTGATGAGAAACCACATCCTGGCCTGAGGAGCTCCCAGCAATTCCTACCAGCCTGGCTTTCCAAAGCCAGGGCCCTGAGCCTGATGAAGGTAGATTAAAGCAGCCCATTTGTTCCCATTTACTGAGCCAATCACTTTTCTGGCACTTTGTCTAATTACCTTGTGTAATCTTCATGCCCACTGTGTAAAAGTAGTATCAGCCCATTTTATTCAGGGGAAACTGAGGCTCAGAAAGTTGTACTGGCTTGCCAGTACACGAGACCACACTGTCAGTGTTACCTGAGGGTATGTGAGGGGTGGGCCCCTGTGCCTGGGGGAAGAGCTCCCTGCCCAGATGGTGGCAGAGAGTAACCTCTGCTGGAGCTGGACAGCTGGCAGCCCGTTTTGAATACTAATATTGAATATCTTAGCTTCCTCAATCCTCACAATCTTGCTAGGTGGGGCCATTTTGCCAAAGAGGACACTGAGGCTCAAGGTCACCCAGTTGGGTCCCTGAATCGCAAAGCTTCGTGGTCCTCTTGCTCTCGTTCAGTGGTGCTAGCTGCTGGGGGACTCAGAACCTGCTGCTGGCGGGGTTCAGTAGGTGGTGGTGGGGTGACGGACTGCTCCCGTCTGTCACGACCTCAGAACATGTAAGCGATGGTACGTGTGTCCCGCAGGTTGTCCATTCCTGACAGCTCAGGCCA